TCATCAAATTTATAGTTTTTTACAGATGTATATTTTTACTTGATTCATAATTCAAACTATACATCTTTAAAAAATTGACGTAAAAACATATTTTCTTTGCACCTGTTAATCATGCTTATTCACAGATTTGTTTCACAAAACATTAAAAACTGACACGTATTCATGGACAACGAGAGTGTAAAAATTAACGTCAAAAGCACCTCCTTTTTTTGTATTTGTTAATCAGACGTATTCACAGACTTGTTTCACACACATCAGAAACTGACACGTACGGAACAACGAGTTAGTGAAATTAGCGTAAAAAGCGCCATTTTCTTTGTACCTGTTAATCAGGTTTATTCAAAGATATGTTTCACACAACATCAGAAATTCGCACATACTAATAGAAAACCAGCATGTTTTCTGAACTCACAAAAAGCACGTGACAGTCAGGTACTACAAACGTGCTTTTGATTATCTCCACTCTGACTTTGATCTCAATAATCAATAATCTTTACCGCGACCATCACAATTATAATACTTACTAAGACTTTGATATCTGACAAAGGAGGAAACCAATAACGTTGTCTTCTCTAATCATAAACCTAAATATAATAAACACGGGGTTTATCGTCATATTTTTAGGTTACAAAAAATAAACACTAATTTTTCACTTTGACATACCTTCTTATGCACACTAAGATCACAGTACTAAGGTTACCAAAGTTTAATCTTCCCTGCATATTACGTTTACCAAAGTTTAATCTCCCCTACATACTAAGGTTACTAAAATTCAGTCTCTCTCCAATTCAGGTTAGTACGCTTTATCTCCATATTAAAATTTCACAAACAAATATACGTATTTACAAAAGAACAATATCTCTTTCCATACTAAAAAGACACTCTGGATTAAAATTGCTTATGAATGGTTTTCAAGTATAATTATTCCAGGTAAGAAATATAAAAAATTGTGAAATAGAGAAAACCGTAAAATTTCTTGGGAAGCGATCTGAGATAAGCCTGCTACTGAACAATACACAGTCACATGCTGTTCCTCGTTTTGCTTATTCATGTTTTCTCCGGAACTGAAACTCCCACGAAACGCTTCCTTGACTTTTAATACATTTCTTTTCTAAATTAGGTTTAGGCTTCTATGAACTCGGAATATTTAGCTCCTTCACGTATACTTCACATACCGAGAAAAGAAAACCTTCAGCAAACTAAAAATTGTGGTTGTTCACTTACTCATACTAAACCTTGATTCAGTTTATTTCTAACTAATTTCTTAGTGCGACGTGTTTTATCTGAAATACGTTTTTGTTAAATTGCAGAATTTCTCTTATTCAAAGAAATTGTCAGTTGCAGACAACTGAATTCTATGAAGAATTTTAAATAACCATTTCTGGCAGGAAATATAGAATATTTCTGACACTCCCCCACCCGTTCCCCAGTGGGTAGCAGAGTTTACTGACATACAATACTAAAATTCGGGGCTCTATTCTCCGCAGTGGATACAGCACAAATAATTCATTTTATGGTTTTACATTGAAATAAATTGACATCAACACCCCTACTATTTTTTTCCAATAATTATTTTTGACTTTTATAAATGCATTTGTGACGTCTTCAGTGGGTCAGCGGAGAGTTTACAGATTATAATGCTAAAATCCGGGCTTCGATTCCTCGCGGTGGACAGAGCGCAGATAGCTTATTGTGTAGCTTTACGCTAAAACAAGAAGTTGTGATTCCACCTTCATCTTTAAACATTAATTTACGATCTTTACTAACATTCAGAAGTTATTATTACTTTGTTTGGTTTTCAAAGATTCTAATCGAATGAAATAGTACATAGTTTAAATAAAATATTCTACAAGATTACAAAACTATATCCAGATTTCAAATAACAGACTTTAGCTGTAACACGTATAAATATCATACAATAAGTTCAAATATTAAGAAATTTGAACAACATATAACTAATTCGAAGGTTAGTTAAAAACCTTTCTAGCGGTTTAAAAAACATTAAATAATTTTAACAAGAAATAATTTGCTTCAGCAATGAGTAGAAATTCAAACAGTTGCTAGAAAGATCCGATGTTGAGTGAAGTTATTCTAATAACAGATAACAAGTTACAGCATTGAGAAAATATTCTGGCAGTAGGTAACAAGATATAACGTTGAGTAAAGCTATTCTAATAATATTGGAAACTACCTATAGCCAGTATATGGATGCAACTAGTAGTGCATCTACTAAATCGATTCTAGGTGAATATAAATGCCAATGCTCAGAGAATTTTTTATTGCAAGCAGTGGAATGGAGAAAAGGTTAAAAGAGACTGGCTTTGTTACTCACCATCGAAGGGGAATGTCTTCTGCATTATATGCAATCTGTTTTCAATATCAGTGGAAACTTCTTAGCTAGCAACAACTGATTAATATGACTGAAACATGCTTCAAGTGATTTTAGTCAGCATGAAACAAGCTTGCTGCATCAAAGTTGCATTACCAAATTTGTTATTTTTAAAACCAACAGTGGACAAATCGATAAGACTTAAACAGAGCAGATGGAGTCAGAGAAAAAATACTGGTGCCAATTTCTAGAGTATATTCTCTCAGTCATAAAGTTTCTGTCATCCAGAGGGCTAGCATTAAGATAAAACAATGAAGTAGTTGGTTCAATGCATAATGACACTTACTCAGGAATATTGAAGCTATTGGCTGAGTATGATACATATCTTGCTAAACACATTCAGAGACATGCAAATAAGGAAAAAGGTCATGTTTTATACTTATCCTGCACTTTTTGTGATGAACCCTTAGAAATATTAAACAAAAAAGTTCTCACCACTATTATCCAGGAAATCAAAGCATTCAAGTATTAGTCAGTGTTATTTGATTCTACTCCAGTTATATCCCACACAGATCAACTGACAATAATCTTTAGATATATTCTAGATGATGGCCCTGTAGAGAGTTTTACCTCATTCTTGTAAGCAATCACACAAGAGTTTTCATTAATTTGCTTGAAAAGAATGATATAAGAATTCAAGATTGGCATGAACAATTTTACAACAATGCATCCAGTATGAGTGGCAAATATATTGGCTTGTAAGCCGTTATCAAAGAAAAGAACTGCCTTGCAGACTATGTTCTCTGCTGTGTTCATTCATTGAGTTTGATTGAACAATGTGCTGTAGACTGGTTTACTGAAGCTTGTTTATTCTTTACCTTTGTGCAGAAGCTTTATGCATTTTTCTCAGCTTCAACCCATCTTTAGAAATGCCCACACGATGTGCTTGGAAAACTAGGTTTCCCGACAATAAAGAGATTATTAGACACAGGATAGAGCACCTATTCAGATGCAATGCAAGCCTTAAAAATGGGGTACAAAGCCATAACTCAAGTCCTCGCTTCCATTACAGACAATGACTCTGAAAAGCCATTAGTGCACTTAGAGTCAAGAAGCCTTATGCTAGAATTGGAACATTAAAAACAGGTATAATGAAGGAATTATGGAGCCTTATCCTGGAGAAGTTTCACAAAACAAGTCGTTTATTACAAAACTCCCAAATAGATGTCACTACAGCTTCTCATCTGCTAAAATCTAAAGACATTCATGCAGGAATTACAAGATTCATTTGCCAAATATGAGGAAAACGGTATACAATACATAAGTGAATCATTTTCATTGAAATCGGGTCACATTTTGTTATGCTTAAAATCTGACAACCACTGGCTATAGATTTCTCTAAATCAATCATGATGTGAGAGTCTTATCCATTGTTCTAGAACCCACGAGGAACACACATAATAATAAAATATGTTCATTGTGGTAAATGAAATAATAATTTGATCTAAGTAATAGTTTGTTTTCTTCTATTTGTAAAAAATCTTTACATGATAGAAAAAAACCGAAACAACTTATACGAAGTTTAAATTTGCATAGCCTGTGTAAATGATAAAGTGTCACTTTCACTAGACAACAGAATAGTGGCATATGAAAATGTCAGTTAAAAATTTGGGTTTCTGTGAATCTTAAAGCCCATGCCTACAGAGGACCTCCACAATTCCACAAAAAGCTGATCAGTATGTATCTTTTGGACTTGGGGAGTTGCACAGAAGAAGAAATACTTCAATTTGTCACCCTCTGCAAGGTAGGGTTTGTTGAAAAACTGTCAGAATCCAAGGAACAAAATATGCTGAGAATGATATGCGACCAATTGCTGAAATCAACTTTCACAAATGTCCTGATAATATTAAGGGTGTACTTGTGCTTCATGTCATTCTTGCCACTAAAAGGGATAAGTAACACACTTTGATTAACAATATGCCAAGACAGACTAAATGCACTGGCACTTCTGTGCATAGAAAATGGCTTGTTAGAATTACTTGACATCAAACAGATCATAAGTGTCTTTGCTACAAAAAAAAGCCAGGAAGACAGTAGTTTAACCAAGTATAGATGACATGATCTGCTACTGTTGTGGGGAATACTATGTGAGTAGCGGTGTGATCTAAGTGTGTGTATGTGTCTGTGCATTTGTTTTTATGTGTGTGCAGGAATGCATGAGTTGTTGAGTTTATGTATATGTGGTTTCTTTCTGTCTATATGATTTGTTGTCCGAATGCAAATTTTGTCTTTTCCTATTCAAAAATCATCTAATATTGATCATTAATTTGTAGACGAGTATTGCAAATCTTTGGTATTATTTTCTCAGTCTCCAAAGGTAAAAAATATCTTGAGATTTAGCTTTTTTTTACCTTAGTCTTTAGTCACAATCATAATAGGCCCAGTAAAAAAATTTACTTCCAGGGCCATCTGACCTTTAATCTGCCTCTGATCTGATGTTACTGTTAGAGGGTTGAATAGATTGCAATATATACAATGAGTTATAAGTTAAGTTATTGTAAAATTCGTTTTCTGTAAAATACTTTTAACATATAGTTGAGTAATGAATAAGTAAATCATATAATTTGTTTGTCATGTACACTAAACGTTTATCAACTTTCTTCTTTTTTAGTGCTCCAAGGATATTGCTGGGTTTGCAGTCATGTTCTTTATTGTTTTCTTTGCATATGCTCAACTAGGCTATTTATTGTTTGGAACCCAAGTCCAGGATTTTAGCAGCTTCATAAAAGCTATGTAAGCAGTTAGAATTATATGTTACACTTTTGCTTCAAAAATGTTTCATTAAAAAAGAAAAATACATTGTAAATTAACATAAAAATGTTTTTGTGATTTTGTAAACTTAAAAATAAGACTTGTAGAGAAAGATGGATAGTACAATTCTTATAATAAAAGCTAAAGAAACAACAACATAATGAAAATTAATTTACAAGTTTTGGTTTAAAAAAAACAACATAATTTCTGTTATTATGTTAGAACATAAATTAGGCTTTGATATTGCTGAACCATCCTAAAATCAACATAAATAAGAAATTCTAATAAATATTGTTTTTTGATTTAAGAATGGATAAAACAAAACATATCTATAAATTTGTACTGATATGACATGTTTGAAATGTTAAAGTGGATCAGATATACCTGAAATATGTATTTTATCCTAAGAAGAAAGAAGAATTTTAAGAAACTATACTTACTGCTCATTTAAATTATTATAGATTTACTTTGCTACGAGTCATCTTGGGTGATTTTAACTTTAATGAAATTGAAGCAGCTAACAGAGTTCTCGGTCCAATCTACTTCCTAAGCTATGTATTTTTTGTTTTCTTTGTCTTAATGGTGAGTAAATTATTAATTTATTAAACATTTATGCTGTGCTTCTAGTTTTCAACTATTTCAGTTAAAGTAAAAGCTTAGAAACAAGTCACGATTCTTGAAATATATTTATTTTTATATTTAGTAAATAAGCCTTTTTCAAAAGATTTGTGAGATGTATATTTGTCTTAAAGATGTTGCATACTTTTCTCTTGTAACGTTTAACTTTATCAATATTACTAACTATATGTTGATAAAATAATATTACTTTTTCCTACAGTGTTTACATTTTTTTTGCATGAGTAAAGAAACTGACTTGATAACATAAAACTCAAGCATTATCACTTTTGCCCATTTTATTTTCTGACAACTTATTGAAGAAACATATTAGAAAAGGAGGATTTTCATCTATTAATAGATTTAGAGTTTTTTACTTTTAGTATTTTTTATAATTGTTTACATAACATCATCAATATTTTGGTAATTCAAGTTGTGGTGTTTAACAATAAATGTAGGAACTGGTGTAAGCTTTGTAATATATATGTAACCATTATCTTGTTTAACCTTTACAGAACATGTTTCTGGCTATCATCAATGACACCTATTCTGAAGTTAAAACAGACATTGCTTGCCAAAAACCTGACATAGAAATTGGGGAATATTTCAAAAGGGTAATATTAAAATTTTCCTAGAAACTTTGTGACTTAATTTATTTTGTTAATATGTTATGAAGCTCCAAGTAATTTGGCTATCTTTATTTATTTACTTATTCACAACCCTATCTCACATTCCAGTTAGATTCGTAACAAAATAAAAATAAAATTCTGAGGAAAAGTTATCAAACATGACTAATTCTATTCTAGAAAATATTTTGAACCAGTTATGTTGCAAGAAGAGTAAGTTCACATTTCAAAATTAACACTTGTCAATTAAAAAACAATTTCAGACCTACAACAACTTGGTTAGCAAGCTGGGGAAACGAGAAAAGATTGTTGGCATTCAGAATGCAATGAAAGACGCCAATGGAGATCAAGTTAAAAAATTTACCTTTGAGGAGATTCGCCAGTCTCTGAAGCGGTATAACTGATATCTTATTACTTTGAAAACATTTAATTCATTAACTTTTATAGATGCTTTTTATTTAAGAGCTTCATTGTTAAACTTCCTAGAAATATTTAGCTAGTTTTTCTTTTAAGTTATTTCCACATTTTAAGATTGTTTAGGAGGGGGGTCATAGATTAGGTAAAGGTCCATGTATGGATGCAGTATGTGAACTCAGTACTGCTTTCACAGTGAAAATTCAGTAGATCTAATATATTTTAATCACATGTTATACAGATTTAATATAACACTTATATAATTCATTCATACAGATACCTCTCCATATTCACAAGCCCTCTGGTGCCTATATAGTAAGCTTAAGGGCTTATAAGACCAATGTTGAAGAAATAAAACATTTTGTGACTCAGTTACGTGAAAAGTTGAAAATGCAAAACACCTATGTTAAAGCACCATTTTAGTCATGCAGTTGTATTACATATATGTTATAGGTTAAAATACTATAGAATTAGTTATAACATAGTTTGAGCATTTGTGTTATATCACCGTTATATGCATTCATTTGTTATTCCTGTTTTGTATATCTGCAGACAAAACTTCTCTGATGTGGAAATTGAGATGATTTTTTCAAAGTATGATCAGGATGGTAATCGTGAATTGGATGCAACTGAGATGAAACAAATGTTGGTGGACTTAGAGGATCAGAAAAGACTTCTAGAAAAGGAAATTGAGAATGAGAAACAGGAAGCAGTGGCTGAGAACTCTGGAGGAACACGTCCTTCTAGTGCTGCAGTAGGAGGTGGAGGAGGGGTTTCACTGGATGAGTATAATGTGTATGGTCGTAGTTGACTTTTTATCTCAAACACTATACAAATTCTAGAAATTGAATTATTCCAGTATTAAAATAATACATATACCTTTGTAATGTAAGCCATTACTTCAACTTTAAAAATTGTATTTAGTAATGCAGGTTTTGTGACTTAATTTCAATTATAAACAAAAGCAGCACAGTCTGCTTGTTTTAAAATAATATATTAAAAACAAATCAAACATATATATAAATGTTTGTTACACTGTTGGTTACCATAGTTATATCCAGAGCTTTAAGTAATTGTTTCTTTTTTTTTTTTCTAAAATCCACACTGGCTGGTTGAGTTACTTTAAAACACCATTGACAAGACAAGTTATTATTCTCCACTTTATTATTACAATACTGTCTGTGATAATTTCCTTTCAAAAATCACCACTATACACTCTTGATCACTAAACTCACAATCATGCAATCTAGAACTAGAACTAAATAATGATTTTTTGACATGTATTTATATCCTGACAGAAGTCTAGAATGTTCCATGCAATACTAGATATTCTAATGCAATAGTACTCAATTAAACCAGTGAGAAACTCAGAAAGTTGTAGTAACATGATGCAATAATCTCACTATTGTAAACAATCACTAATTCATAACAATTTAATTATACAACATAAAATTTATAAACAGTTATGTAAACAAATTTACCATAAAATGTCACTTCTGAAAATAACTAAATATGATACTCGAGCTATATATAAACTATGTAACTCGTAAAGCTTACATTAAACTTAAACTGAAACAGTGTGTGTATCTAACAAGCAACTTCTTACTAATACTGTAATTATCTGAAGTTAATGTATTTCAAGTATCCAGGTATAGATCAAAATATATAATATAAAATGCTGATTTCAGTCTAATTAATTCATAAAGTTTTAAAAATGTATAATGCAAACACACAAGTATGAATTCTAAAAAACATAGTGATTATGACACTGAAAATTAACAAACAGCAAGAACCAATTGTGAACTTTCTGTATATGTATATGAATAATCATTCATTTTAAATTTGTTACATTTCTTTAGTTCAATGTAATTAATTCAAAATTGAAACTACATAAAATTATACTTCATCTTTATAACTTACTATAGTTTGTCAAGACGAGTAGATCGAATGGAACACTCCATTGGAAGTATTGTTTCCAAGATTGACGCTGTTTTGGTAAAGATGAATGCAATGGAAAGATCTAAAGCAAAACGGCGAGAGAATGTCAACAGGATCTTAGACACCATATCAGAGGTAAATAGATGGGCTGAAATCTATTCACTGAAATTTTTAATTACTGACTTGTTTATATATCATTCACAACCAGTGGGGTCCATATATTGATTAATTTATAGTTTTTACTTGTCATAACACTCAGTGTAAAGAACTAACCAGAAAAAAAAAAAGAGTGAAATCACTTGTTTTCTGTGTATATGTAGGCAACCACAGTGGTAAGTTATGTTATTTTTGTTTAAACTTTTTATGCGAGTCTTATGTAATTATGGACTTAATAACCAACAGTCATGGGCCCACAAGCAATTTGGTGAATAAATAGTTAGAAAACTGTTATTAAAATCTGATGTACTTAAAAAATCATATGGACACCATTTGGATTTTTAGTCAATAAATATGTGACCACTCGATAAAACTTGACTGAAAAAATAAGTATAGAATTATTTACTTTATATTACATTAAATTGTACTTTAAGATAAAAAAAGTTAGCAAAACTTAAATTGCAAACAGAAAAGTAAGTGGCACTTATAACCATGAATTGCTCAGTTTATTTAATAATGATACTCTCAATAAACCATCTTGTTCAATAACAGAAACTTATAATGTAAAATTCTACATGAACTCTTCATGTTTGATCCTGTGTTTTTAAATCAAACATAAAATATGAACAAAATATTATGTATATTAATAAAATTGTATATTTATTATGCTCAACTATTTAGAGTGAAGGTCTAGATGAAAGAGCCAAGCGGCAGCAAATGGAGAAACTTGTGCGAGAAGAACTTCAGCGTTGGGACTCTGAAGCATCTGTGAACTCACCCCAACACTCTGTAAGATTTTGCACAAACATTTTATCATCCATACACAAAAATAAAACAAATTGAATTTAGTGAGTCATTGACTTTTTGCTTGAGAAGATGTAAATGGAAACAGAAACTAAGTTCAGACAGTTTTATAGGTGTTCATCAAAATATTCATAACATATTAACTCAAATATTTTATTTATAAGTGCATTTGAAATTAAAACTATAGTAGAAACATTGTTTTTCTTCACTGTCTGATGAACATAAGAGCAATTTTAAATTTGATGATGAGGAACCCACTTTTTGAAAATTAAAGTTTGGCAACAGCTTGAATGGATAGTGAAGAACATTTTATCATAAATGTTGTACATTTATGATAAAGTTTTCTTCATTACCCATTCAAGCCATCTCCAAACTTTTATAAGTTCAATTTTATTAAAGATACTTTTTATTTGAAGAAGCATGAAATACTTCAGTTCCTATTGTGATATACATATGTGTGTGTGTGTCTATATATTTAAATAATTGTATGTAGCCCCTTTTTAGTAATGTTTGTGAATTCAGTTTTTTAAAGACTTGGCTTTTCTGTATTGCTCTAACCAACTCTCTTTATGTATTTATTAAAAGCTATTTAAGTATTGTATAGATGGACTGATTAAGGTAAATGCTGAATAAAAAGGTTAAATATAGTGTACAATTACAGTTTTTGTTTCTCAGTAACTTCTGTTATTTAAATAAAGTAATTGGTAGAATGTTATACACCGTATGTATCAGTGCAAAAGACATTTTCAATAAGTATTCTAAATATAAATTAAATCATTTCTATTGTGTCATTTTTGTTGTTGTTGCTGAGAACAGTTTTTCAAATCGTTTGCCTTTTTTTTCTGATGATTTTAGGCCAGTGGTGACAGGGATTAACCAATTCATAATGGAATTCAAGGACAATGAAAGGCACTGTTTTTAAAGCATTTAATAGCAAAAAACCACAAAAAACTTACTTGAGATCTTATGTTGAAATAAGTATTCCCTAGGGAGTCTCTTTCACAGCTTAAAATAAGAGACTTGTTACTCTAGATGTTAGAAGAATTGATGTTGATACATTAGACATTATAGTAACCACATCATAAAAGTATATTAGGCATTAGAGCAGCTTTGATTTATAGCACAGTAAATTACCTTTGATATAAAGAAAATAAATTAACTGAAACTTAGACAGGAATCAAGCAGTTATCTATTCCTATCAACAAAATGAACAAATGCTGTTCTTTGTTATGGACGTTTTACATAACTTTGTTTGTCTACTTATCAGTAAAAAATTGCTTAGAAGATTTTAACAAGTACTGTATGGATAAGTAGTAAGCAAAAAATGAAAGCAATATATGATAAGTTGTCTTCATATTAGTCATTGTTATTTCTGACAAATTTGAATACTGATTTCTGTCAACTTTTCTATAGAATCATTATTGAATTCTACAAATCCCAGGGAAAATATTTATTGAAAAAGAAATGTGTATCAAAAATAAATAATGCCTAGACATATTAGTTATCAGTTTTTCTATTCTATGTTCTCTCTTGAAGTGTATCTTCTCCATATATTTTTATTTTCATCTTTTCTTAATAAATAATAACTAAAGAAATTAAGTAACTCTAAAACATCTGTCACTATACATTAAATAACCACTTATAACACTATTAAGTTAGAAAAATGAAATCAAGAGCAACTATTATTTTACATTTATACAATAAGTACAGTGAATTCCTTTGAATACATTTCATTAATCTCTTCAGACTTATATATTCAATAATATTTCATTTCTATGACAGTAAGACTGCTTTTTTTAAATTGTTAATATTAGAAAGATGTTTTTCTGTATTAGAATAAAGGAAAAATAGCAGTTTCAGAAAACAATTGGTTATCAGTAGGGAAGCTCAATCTAGTTCAAGTTCTTATCTATTAATAATAAAAAAGAATAATTCATAAAAGAATAAGGGAAAATAAATTGTATTTTTTAGCAACTGTTAAATTTTGCCTGGATAACAATACTTATAACTAACACTAACTTACATTTTATTGTTCATTATAAAGTTGAAGGTGAAATTTTATGTATAAAGTCTCAGTTGGTTAAACTGAAACTGGGACCTACATGCATAATTAAAAGTGCAGCAAAATTTATTATGTGAAAGGAAGGAAAAAACAACTACAGGTAATTGGATTTTAGTCAAAACTCTTCAGAATTTTGGAGATAATGATCTTTTCACTAAAACAAAGTAATCCCCTGTGATGTTGGAAGACAATTATACATATATATTACTAATATGAGTGTTTACTGCTTTATAGAATAAAACTGGTGATGATTTTACAAAGTGAAAACTTAGCTTTAATGTGTTTTATTGCAGTTCTATATCATGAACATTTTAGACTGTCAAAAAAAGTAGAAAATTACTAATATAATTTGGTACTGAAATAATGTTCAATTTGTAATTGTTTAACTTAGCAGTATTTATTATGAAGTAAAAAGGATTTTAGTATATGAATGTTTCTAAGGATGTCAAGCACAAAATTTAAACTTAAAAATTAAATACACCCAGAACTCTTCATCATTAAATATATAACTTTCATTGATGCACTTTTTTATTAATTAAGATATTCTTTTGGTTCAGGATTATGAATTCTATTAATTTTTTCAACTCTGTTACCAAGTGTTATTGTTTCACATTTTATTCTTATTCCACCATTTAATCATAAATTTTAAATTCAAATGTCTCTTCTCCCTTTCATGGGATGTTTCAGTATAATTGCATAGTCCTCATAATTACTCCAGAGAATAGAAAAAATGCTGGCAAACTATATCAATAAATTAATTATCAAGAAAACATTTTTTACTATTCTGAAAGATGAAAATACACTAATTCTTAAGCATAATTTGTTAAAGAGCATTGAACTATAAATATATCTTGTTACACATGTTGAAAACTTTAGAGAAGAAAATAAATGTACAAAATAATGAGGATATTTAGCTTTAACTTAGTTGTGGTAATATCACACAAAAGTGGAAACAATATATATTATGAAGTCTACTAGATTTTATTTAACATTCCTATGTTAAGTTATGTTTTAATTCTATATATATTGTAAAAACATTATTGAAACCAAAGATTTTTAGTATTTGTGATCTTGAATATTATTTAATGACATCTTCTTCAGTAGACATGCACAGTGCCACAAAACCTCACATTTTAAATTGTGTGATTTGGTTTATAAATGTTAATTATATGTCACTATCACTCAGTTGCTTTGTTACAAGTTTGCTAATTTTTTTCCAGTTTGATTTGATCCCCCTATGACTTAAATTGAATGCTGATAGATAATTATATCAATTTTATTTTGCTGTTAGTCTGTTAGACTGCTTAAAAAAATATCAACTAATGTAGCAAAGGAGACAATAAGTAGAAATTTATTGGAATGCTAAAATATACTGTATAGCAAGTGCTTACTGAAAAAGAAAAAGTTGAATAATCTGTTAGCTTAATGAATATTTAAAAGAATATTTTCCAAACTGAGTAGAATGTTTTCCTCTAAAATATGTGACAAAAGTGTAAGTAAATATTACTTATTTTGCTGACTTTTAAGCTTAGTTTATGTGCAAGTTAAAATTTTTAAAACAATTTCCATAAGTGTATTTTGGGTTGCAAATAACTTAATGCATCAATTAAATAGCTTTGAACATTTGTAATTTAGATCACATAGTGGTTTTTCAATGAAAAAAAAACTTTATAATTTCAACATTGTTTTGTTAGCACAATAATAATTATTATAAAGTTTGTTTGTTACCATTTTATTTTTTGTATTTTGTAAACTGTTTAACTTTTCTATAAACCAATAGATCACAATTTAAAAGTTTTGTTTTATATGATATTTATAACAAAGTCTTTAGAATATGTTTTTAACTTTTAATACATTGGTAGTTTTGTTTTTATATGTGTGTGCAAGAATGACACCTTTTTTTTTCTAAGGTAGCTAGATGATGTAAATTGACTGTGTGAATAAACTTCTAATGCACATGCAGTATTTTTGGAAGTAATGTAGATTGAGTGCTTATTCTTTATTTTTTTCTGTTATTGGTAAAAAAAAGTAAAGTAAATAAAAGACAACAGTGCAGCAAATGAATATATACACCTGGAAAAAAGTTAAGCACCCCCGTGTTTTTTTCAAGTGATTCAGATTCGACGTTCTTGTGA